TAATTTTCAGGTCAGGGAAAAAAGATATAATTTATATACCATTAAATCCACCTGTTTAAGTGTGCTACTCAATGGCTTTTAGTAAATTTGCAGAGTTGTACAAACATCACCCCAATCCAGTTTTAGAACATTTCCATCACCCGCAAAAGATCCCTCATGCCGGGGGCTTCCCTGGTGGCGCAGTGGTTGAGAGTCCGCCTGCCGATGCAGGGGACACGGGTTCGTGCCCCGGTCCGGGAAGATCCCACGTACTGCGAAGCGGCTGGGCCCGTGAGCCATGGCCGCTGAGCCTGCGCGTCCGGAGCCTGTGATCCGCAACGGGAGAGGCCAAAAAAGTGAGAGGCCCCCGTACCCCAAAAAAAAAAAAAAAAAGATCCCTCATGCCATCCCCACCCCATCCCCAGTTCCAGGCAATCACTAATCTAATTTCTGTCTCTATATATTTGCTTTCTCTGGACATTTTGTGTAAACTACTCATACAAAGTGTGGCCTTTTGTGTCTGACTTCTTTCACTTAGTAAAATATTTTTGAGGTTCATCCATGCTGTAGCATGTATCAGTAGTTCATTCCTTTTTATTGTTGAAAGACATTCCATTGTATGCATTTACCACAGCTTGTTTATCCATTCACCAGCTGATGAGCATTCGAATTGTTTCATTCATTAGGAACAATGCTGTTATGAATATTCACATGCAAGTCTTTCCATGGACGTAGGCTTTCATTTCTCTTGGGTGGATGGAATTGTTGGGTCTTATGGTAAATTTCTGTTCAACATTTTAAGAAACTGCTAAATTGTTTCTTAAAGTAGTTGCAGCATTTTATGTTCCCACTAGAAAGCGGTTTAAGTTTCTCCACTTCATCACCGATACTTGGTACTGCCTGTCTTTTTTTTTTTTTTTTTTTTGCGGTCTGTGGGTCTCTCACTGTTGTGGCCTCTCCCGTTGTGGAGCACAGGCTCCGGACGCGCAGGCTCAGCGGCCATGGCTCACGGGCCCAGCCGCTCCGCGGGCATGTGGGATCCTCCCGGACCGGGGCACGAACCCGTGTCACCTGCATCGGCAGGCGGACTCTCAACCACTGCGCCACCAGGGAAGCCCTTGCCTTTTGATTGAGGTTGTTCTGGCGGGTGTCATGTGCTATTAGTCCTGTGAAACACACAAGTGGAGATGTCCAAGAAGCAGATAGGCATAGGGGTTTGAGCTCTAGATGGAGATCTGGGCTGCAGAAATGCTTTTGGGAGCCTCAGCTGTAGATTCATTTAGTCAATAAACAATTTCTTGAGCACCTACTATGTGCCAGTCACTGTGCTAAGCCCTAGGGATGAGGCTGTAAAAAACACAGACATGTAGGACTCCTTTTGGAACTGAAAGTCTAGTGGAAGAGACAAACCATAAACAAATAAAAGTACAATATAATGTCACATGGTGATAAATGTTCAAAAAAATAGAGCAGAGTAGGGGACGGGGGCAGAGGGGTTGCTGTTGTAGATGAGGTGGCCAGGGGATGTCTTTCAGGATACAATAGCTGGATCGCTCAGAGTCCAATCAGGGAAACAAACCAGTCTAGGTGTTTCAAAGAGAGGAAATTTAATATAGAGAACTGGTTAATGTGAGATGGAAGAGTTGAGAAGCCAAACTGATGGGATGATCAGGAATAAACCACAGCACAAAGCTACTGGAGGCACATGACAAAAGGGTAGTGTGATGAAGAAAAGTTTCTTGTGTGGGAGCTGGGATCATGGGATCATGGCACAGGTATGGCCACTGTCAGAATACACACCCCCACCCTAAGCAGAAAGAAAGAGAAGAAATACCCTGGCCTCTCCCTTCCTCCCCACCCTCCAGTCTCCCTCCAGTGCCTCTCATTGGGTGAGACTAATAGGAAGCCAGTGTGCCAGGGAACCTGCGAAGTGTAGTTTTCTGGAGAAGGGTAGGGCATTGCTCTGACTTGCACACTGATAGCGCAGAAATATAAATGAAGTAAAGGAACAATCCACATGTGTATCTGTGGTAATAGTGCTCTGGGTAGAGCAGACAGCAAGTGCAAAGGTCCTGAGGTGGGAGTGTGCCAAATGGAACCAAAACCCTACATGTGAGCGTGATGGATGGTCCAGGCACAGTATACAGAATGACAGTGGCTAGGGACCTAGGACAAAGCCGTGGGAGACATTTAGGGAGAAGGCAGGAGACAGTGATAGTGTGGCCTTGAAGTCAAGGGACAAATGACTTTCAAGAAGGAGGGAATGATTCATGAAGACTTACCTGTGAGAGTGACTAAATGAGGGCTTGTGTGAGGCTGTGGGACCAGCAAATCGTAAGGTCACTGGTGCTGTTAGTGAGAGGAGTTTTGGAAGCATACAGGAGGTGGGAGGTAAGGAAGCAGAGACAGCAAGTGCAGATGTGAGTGTAGACCACTCCTTGGAGAAGTTTGGCTGGGAGGAGGCAGGGCAGTTTCCTGCATCACCAATGGTGAGAGAGTGAGAGAGTATCATTGGGTTCCAGATTATCTAAACAGGAAGGGCTTGGAGCCCAGGGGTTTGGGGGTCTGAAATCAGACCCACCTAGGTCCAAATCCTGGGCTCCCATTTATGTGCTGGTCCCCTCTCCTCTCTGAGCCTAGTTTCCTCTCTTGTAAATAGGGAAGTTGCTGTACTGTTCATGGGAGGTTGCATCCAGCACTCAGCAAGTGTGTTTGCAAAGCGTTCAGTACTCATAAATGCAAGCTGCAGTACAAGTAGGCAAGGAGATATCTCATTTTTAAAAGCTCATTATCAGCTGCAAATAATTACAATGTCAGCTACTATTTATGAAACACCGTGCTCCAGACACCTGGCAAAGTGCTTTACAAGCATCATCTCTCCCCAGTCTGCCCCAGTTCACTCTGCTGCAACCACACTGCCCTCGTTCCTGTTCCTTGAACACTTATCCTCCTGCCCCAGGGCCTTTGCACTTGCTGTTCTTGGTGCCTGGAACTCTTCCTTCAGATATCCAAATGGCTCCCTCCCTCACCTTCTTCAGGTCTCTGCTCAAATGTCACATTCCCCAACCACCTCGATTAAAGTTTTACTCCCCTACCTAGTCCATATGCCCCTTCCTCCCGATACCCTAGGTATTTTACTCCCCACCCCACCCCCATTTGTTGTCTGACTTATCCCATAGAATGTTCATCTCCACATAGGCAGGCATTTTTAAAAATAATTAATTAGTTAATTATTTTTTGGCTGCACTGGGTCTTTGTTGCGTGCAGGCTTTCTCTAGTTGCGGCGAGCAGGGGCTACTCTTCGTTGTGGTGCACCGACTTCTCATTGCGGTGGCCTCTCGTTGTGGAGCACGGGCTCTAGGTGCGTGGGCTTCAGTAGTTCTGGTGCAGGGGCTCAGCAATTGTGGCTCGCTGGCTCCAGAGCACGGGCTCAGTAGCTGCCACACTGGGGCTTAGTTGCTCCACGGCATGTGGGATCATCGCGGACCAGAGCTCCAACCTGTGTCCCCTGCATTGGCAGGCAGATTCCCAACCACTGTGCCACCAGGGAAGTCCCAGGCAGGCATTTTTTAAATCTGTTGTTTACAGTGCTTGGGACATAGTAGATGTTCAATAAAGCTTTCACTTGATTCTCAGGACACAGGAGCCATTTACACGTATTAGGTCCATGGGTCCTTAAACCACCCACTTTGCAGATGAGAAAACTGAGGCAGAGAGAGGTCATTGCTGGAAGTCCCATAGGGGCAGAACCTGCCTCTCCCTGCTGTTAAGCTAAAAAAAAAAAAGGATACTTCAAGACCCCCACCATCCCTACCCCCATGTTCAGCGCTTCTCCCGAGGCGAGCCCTCGGTGAGCTGCCACGGCCCAGGGAAAGGCCTGAGTCATCGCCGCCTCCATACGGCGGCGGCGGCCGCGAACTGAGGGCGACTGCAGCGGCCGCGGCGGCAGCGCGAGGTGATGCGGGGACGCCACGAGGGGGCGTGAGTGCAGGGAAAACAGAGGAAATTAAACCAGCCGGGCTCTCCTCCTGGCGGCCTCGCCGCCCCGCCGCCGGCTGGTGCGTGGGTGCAAAGCTGAGGGCACTGCACTCCCCCTTCCTTCGAAAGGGCGGGCCCCGGAGCTGCTCCCTGGGGTCTGGAGGAAGGTCCGAAGTACCAGTTCCCCGCCCCCACCCCAAGTGGGTGGAGTGGAGTGGGTGGGTTGTGAGTGGAGACCCAGCTGGGACTTGCCGGCAAAAGGCTAGCTCCCGTGTCGGCCGTCCGGGGTTGTAATGCCGCCCCCTGGAGTCATGGGGGTCCTCCTGCTGCAGAAGTGACCCCACTCCCCATATCCCAGTAATCGCCTGTTGCTTTCGGACCTGCCACTCTGCGCTTCCCTCGTTCGGAAACAACCAATAGGTCCCCAAAGTGGTCCTGGTACCAGGGAAGCCCCTTCCCCAAGGGAAAAGGAAACACTTGGCCACCCGATTCAAGGGAGCGCACTGGAGCCCACCGCCCCATACCTGCTCTCCCGGGTTTTAGTGAGCCGGGGTCGGTGTCCTAACAGTAGGTGGGTTGGGACTTGCGACTCCGGCCCCCTGCCAGCTTTGGGTGCACAGGGTGGGGGGGCTGCCCATTTAAACGCAGGCCGAGCGCCCGGGGCTCTGAAAGGGGCTGTGAGCGGAGGGTGGCCCGGGAATACCTCGCTTCGGGGGGCAGGGGCGGGAACACCGCTGGGGGCGGGGCTGGGAATGCCGCGGCGGGGGGTGGGGGGCAGGTGGGGAATACCGCCGGAGGGGGCCCCTTGCGGGGTGGGGCGATCCCGGACAGAGGGGTTGAAAGGCCGGGGGAGAGGGGTGGGGACAGCCGGGGCGCCGCCCGCCCCCCGCCGGGCTCCGGGCCGGAGCCGTGACGTCACAGCGGCTGGAAGTGCCCGGCGCGGAGGCTGTGGGAGGCGCGGGAGGGGGTGGGGGGGGGGCCGAGGCGGCGCTTTATAAGCGGAGCCCGCCGGGCGCGCCGAGCCGCAGCCCGCGTCCCCGAGCCCCCCCGGCCGGCCCCGGCCCCCCAGCTCGCGCTCGCGCCCCCTGGGCGGCTGGGTGGCAAGGGACCGAGCACCAGGCGGCGGGCGGCCGCGGGGCATGAGGCGGGGGCGCGATGTCGGTGCCGCTGCTCAAGATCGGGGCCGTGCTGAGCACCATGGCCATGGTCACCAACTGGATGTCGCAGACGCTGCCCTCGCTCGTGGGGCTCAACGGCACCGTGTCCCGCGCGGGCGCCTCCGAGAAAATCGTGAGTGGCCGCCGCGCAGGGGGCGCTCCCGGGGGGCGTGGTGCTCGCGCCGCCGCAGCAGCAGCCCCCGGGGGCCCCCGTCCCCCAGCTTCCCGGCGCGTCCGGCCGGGGAGCGCCCTCCTGGGGCTGGGGGCTGGACGCGGAGGCGGAGGAGCCCTAGGACCCGCAGCCACCTCCGCGCCTTTTATTATTGTTATTATTATTATTTCTTATTATTAGTGTGCAGTGTCCGAGCGGCAACAATCTACTAGGCTCGCTCAGGCCCCGGGGCGCAGGCGGAAGGGCTGCGGAATTCAGCCTGGTCCCGGCTGAGTGGGGCGGAGCTGGAGGGTAGATTCGGGCGGCTGGTTGGAACCCTGCCTCCGGATAGGGAAGTCTCCGGGTCTCCGAGGGTCTCCACCTTCAGCATCTCTCCCTGTTTGTGTCTCGGTGTCTCTGAGTAGCCCCTTGACTGTCTGTCTCTCTCTCCCTCTCTTCTCTCTCTGTCTCTGTCTCTCCCCGTCTCTGTCTCTATGTCTCTCTCTTTCTGTCTCTCTCTGTCTCACTCTATTCTTTTTCCTCTGGTTTGCGTCTCTATTTTCCTCTCTGTCCGTCTCTGTCGCGCTGTCTCCGACTTTGTATCTTTTTTTTTTTTCTGTCTCTCCTTTTCTCTCCCCTGCACAACACCCCACCCCCTGCATCTCCCTCCTCATTACCTGCCTCACCACGTGCTGAATATTTATTCCCATAACTGACCCTCCGTAGGAGGCCCGGTCTCATACTGGGGTGGGAGCCAGGGCTGGGGCTCATGCTGCCCCCAGAAACTGCAGGATTGCCCCCTCCCCCGTCCCATCCTATCCTCTTCTATCACCTTCATCCTCCAGCTTCCCAAGCCACAGAGTTTGGCTGGGGGGTGAAGGGGGGCAGGATGTGTGTGTTGGGGGGCACTCCCTCGGGGTTAATAATGGTGGTCCTGGGGAGAGGGGAGGAGACATCCTCCACCGCAAACTTCCCTCAGCCTCCTCCAGATACGCCCCTTCCCTCCCATTCCTTACCCTCTTCAATCTGGTTTTGGGACTCCTCCCAATACCTGGAACTGGGATTCATGGGGGCTCCCTCTCTTGCTTGATGTTCCGCCAACTTCATCAGCCCCCCTGTTTAGCCCCCAACTGCCACCACACTGAAAGCTAAGAGGTCTTTGCTCCCAAGCGTTGTGGGCAAGTGGAGAGGGGGGTGCCCTGTGCTCAGGCTTTGTCCAGCTCCTGGAGGGAATTGTCCCTGGGCTTGGCCCAGATGAGGGCTTGCAGTTTAAATCCTCAGAATTGAAGCCAATGTGTGAAACAGTGTTTATCTGTGTGTCTGTCACATCAAGCGATATTTGAATATGTCCTGGTGTATCTATCTATGCATGGTGTGTGTATGGGTGTGTGTGTGAGTGGAGGGTGTGAGAAAGTGTATGTGCTTTGCTAGCATGAGGGCACAAGTGTGTCTGCCTGTATATGAGGGTGCATCCCAGAATGAGTGTGGGTGTGTCCCTGAGTACTCGCTATATCTGGGTGTGGATGTATCTGCAGTTGTATGTCCCTGACTATGGGTTTGCATGTATGTAATTGCATGTGTGCATATAAGTTTATATACACGAGTCTGAGACAGACTTCTTGCTATTGCCTTCTGAGGGGGGAGAGAGATGGCGTCTCATTGAAATCAGAAGCCAGATTCCCCTCCCCTACCATCTAAAAAGTTTGAGTCAGTGTAAATGTGTTCATGTATTATGTACAGCATATGTGTAAATGAGAGCATGTATGTCTGGGGAACGTGTACATAGTGTATAAGAGCATGTCTCTGAGTTATGATTTTGTGTGGGTATATGTGTCTTTGCAAATATGTACAAGTACATGTTTTGTGCATATAAATGTGGACATGTATGTCTTTAGAAGTGTGTGCATATATGTTCAAGTGTGTATCTGTGAATGGTCTATGAATGGTGTGTGTGCCTAGTTTGTATGCATGTGGGTGGATTCCTGTGTGTTTCATGATTTTTCTGTAAGTGTGAGTGTGTGTGCGTACCCAAACTGACCTGGTCTTCACTCTAGCCCATCTGTAGCTAACAGGACCTTGATTCAATGCTTCCATGAAATCACCTGCTGAAAGCTAATAGTTCTCCCATTCCTGAACCCCACCCCATCCCTCAGTCTCACTAAGCCTTGCCAGAAGAGCTCTATGGAGTGAGATGCCAAGTAACTCAGGGTAGCACCTGGGAGGGGACTGTGACATGAGGGTGCTCAGGAAAGTGCCTTGGGAGTCTGATAGACATAGGTTGAAATCCAGACTTTCCCTTAACTTGCTCCACGACTTGCACTCTGGCCCAGTGACATCACCGTTCTGAGGTGCGGTTTCCCATCTATGAAATGAGAATGATAATTCCTACCTCACAGAACTGTTGTGGGTAAGAGGTCTACCATCCAGCCCTTCATCCATCCATCCTTCCATCTATCTCTCCATCCATCCATCTTTACACTCATCCTTTCATCCACCCATCCATCTGTCCACTCACCTATCCATCCATTTACCCATCTATCCATCTCTCCATCCTTCCATCCAGCTCTCCACCCATCTATCTTTCCATCCACCCATTATCCATCACCTGTCTCTCCATTGATTCTTCCACACATCCATCCATCCACCCATTTTGTTTATTCAACAAAATAATTGAGTACCTCCTCTATGTCAAGTGTGTATACGCTTGAAAATCCCAGCTCAGTGCCTGACATAGTAAATGCTCAGTTAGTGACAGGACTCTGAGTCAGATGAATCTGGGTTTGAATTCTGGTCCTGCAATTTACCAGTGGTATGACCTTGGGGAAATTATTTAATCTCTCTAAACTCCAATAGCCTCATTAGTCAAGGGGAGTTCAGAGTCCCCATTAAGCCACAGGATCCATGAGAACATCTATGTTTTACTCACTATTGAACCCTAAGCCCTGATGCAGAGTAGGCCTACAATAAATATTTGTCAAGTGGCTGAATCAACAATCACATCTTCATAAGGATTCCATCTTCAAATGGAAAGATAGCTGGGTGCATAGTAGGTGTTCAGTAAGGAGAGTTTGCTCTGTTTGACATTGTAGCCAAGCACATAATAGGCGTGGAATAAATATTTGTCAAGTGTCTAAATCAATAATGCACCTTCCTAAGGATCGGGGAGAACAAATGGAAGTGAGGAGGTACAGGGTCGATGCTCAGTAAGGAGGAGTTGTGCGAAGCTACAGAGCACCGACGTGGGTAAGCTGAGGGGTTCCGGAACCCAGGTAGTGAGAATTCCCAGTCATGAGGCAGACAGTTGGATGCTGGTCTGGACTTTAAAAACGATCTCTGTGAGGTAAGGGTGAGCCCAGACCCTCAGGCCATTCTTGTCTCTGGTTTCCCCTCCCCTATCTGATCCAGAGAAACAGTTTAGCATTCTAAGAGATTCTGAGAGATGGTGTTACAGATCATCCCTGAAAGGGGGGCGGGGAGGGAGAAGCTGCCACTGCTACTACCTTTGGCCAACTCCCAGCCATAAGCCATCCCTGTGGGATGGAGCCTTCAGTGGAATGGCTTCTCACCTGGGGGGTCATAAATTCAGAACCAGACTAAGAATTGTCAGCCCCATGGCCAGCAGCTGCCGTCATTACGGGGCCTGAAGTGAGTTACCTGCATCCTATATGTTATGCCCTTGTCCATCCCCTCCTCCTTGAGGGATGGATGGAAGGAAGGGGAGATGGAGGAGGGATATTCTGTTTGGGGAGGACCCTTTTCCTCATGGGAGGAACAGGGAGGGTCTGAGCAGCTATCAGCAAGAGGCTGTTTGAGGACTTCCTAGTAAAAACCAAAGTTCAGAATCTATGTGTTTTCTTGACAGTTTTCTGTGCAGGGGGGAAGGACCCCAATACTCAGTATCAGTCAAGAGAGGCAAGGTAACACTGGCATAACAAGTGGCCTCATATCTCAGTGGTTTAATACTGCACAGGCTTATTTTGTGCTTGAAATATGTATCCATGTTGGCTGGAGCTCTGTCCATGGTCGTCATGGACCTGGAATGATGGAGGCTCTATGGTGACACGATCATTGAAGCAGGGAAAGGAAGGTACAGCGTAGCCCCCACTGGCTCCTAAAGCTCTTCCCTAGAAGTGACACGTTACTTCTGCTCACATTTCATTGGCCAACACAAGTCACATGGCATGCTTAACCTCAAAGAGGGTAAGAAGTGTGGTCCTACTATGACCTGGACAGAGAAGAGTGGCCAAATATTTATGAACAACCCTAAATACACTACTGATCCCTCTTCCTCTTATTCTACAACAAGAATTCTCTTGGAGGGTATCTCCATTCATTCATTCACTCATTCATTTATTCAACAAATATTTATTGAGCACCTACTATGTGCCAGGTGCTATTCTAAGTGCCAGGGATATGACAGTGAACAAAACAGACAGAAATCCTTGTCTTTGTGGAGCTGACATTCTAGGGCAGGGTAGGGGAGAAATAAATAAGTATACAGATAAATTTATAATACATGGTGATACATGTACTATGAAGAAGCATAGAGCAATATAAGGGGAGTGGAGAGTGCTGGGGGGGACTATTTTAGATTGAGTAGGTGACATTTGAGCAGAGATCTGAAGGAAGTAAGCAGAGGGAACAGCAAGTGCAAAGGCCCTGAGGTGGGAATATGCCTGAAATTTTGGAGAGTCAGTGAGGAAACCAGTGTGGCTGAAGCAGAGTGAGTGAGGTGGGAAAGTGAGAAGAGATGAGGGCAGGGAGGTGGTGGGAGCCACATCATGTTCGGAGGAGAGGGACTTGCAGGGATTTTAGATTTAACTTGCAACTTCACATGCATTCCCTCTCCTCATTTCACGCTTTCCTTTTCAACATGCACTTTTAACCTTCTAACATTCACGGTGTAGTTGACATTTATTTTGTTGTCTGATTCTCCCCACTGTAATGTCAGCTCCATGAGGGCAGAGATTGTTTTAAAAATCCATTTATGTTGACAGTTATAGTTCCAGTGCCTGGCACTGGGTCTAGCACATAGTTGGTGTTCAATAAATACTTGTTAAGTGAATAAATGGGATGCCAGGGAGGCCCGACTTCAATCAGATCGCTGTCTCATCAACAGTACTTGTGACACGACATGGTATGTGTAGAGACAGAGATATTTCTGGAGTGCTGTTGGGGCACAGAAGAGGGGCACTGAAATCAGCCAGGTTGCAATGGAAGTTTCTTGGAGGTGGTGATGTCCAACTGAGTCTTAAAAGTGGAGAAGGAACTGGCCAGGTGAAAACAGAGCAACGGCATTCCAGACAGAAAGAATAGCACGGACAAAGGCTCAGAAGTGAGGAACATCCTGTTGAGGACGGACACTGCAAGCTGTTCGGAGTTGCTGAAGACAATGTGCCAGGTTGGGAAGAGTGTGGCCAGAGGGGTCCATGTCACAAAGGGATTTGGACTGAGGTGTCTGTACTTCATTCTGAGTGTCAAAGGATGGGAAACTTGAAGGGGTTTGGAGCAGGAAAGGAATATGAGGCTGTCAGTTGCATTTTTCAAAAGACCTGATTGTTAGAAAATCCTTCTAGATTGTGAGTATGAAATTTATCTCATTTTAACATTTTCCTGTCTCACTTGCACCAAATCTAAACTCCTTACCCTGGCCCAGCTTGGTAAGCCTCAGTTTCTTCATCCATAAAATGGGGATAATAGTAGATTGTACCATATAGCATTGTGTTCAGCCATGTGCCTGGCATGTGGAAGATGCCTATAAGGTTCGCTATTATTATTATCACTAGACCCCTGCCTGAGTCTCAGATCTTGGATCACTCTTCCATCCCTTGCTGCTTTTCCTGCCTCTGGAACTTTTCACTTGTTCCCATCCTCTGGGAACATCCTTCCTCCAGTCCTCCCTCTAGCCAGCTCCTTCTCACCCCTCCTGTTCCAGCTCAAATGTCACCTGCTCAGAGACAGCTCCCCTGACCACCCCAGCTACAGTGTCCCCACTTTATTATTTGAACCTGTTCTATTATCTTCTCAGTACTCATAATGATCTGAAATCATCTTGGTAATTGTTTGTTTGCCACCAACAGAACGGAAGTGCCATCTGAATGAAAACTTTGTCCGTCTTGTTATTACTGGGATTTTCTCATTTGGGGCCATAGGTATTTCCTGAATGGTCTCAGTTCTGCCCCATGAGACCACTGCCCCTTTGTCCTCCCGGTGAAACTTCTGAGCCTTGATGAGTATCTCTGTGACCACTTAGTCTTCTCCCATTGCTCAGAAGTGTCTGCTTCTTATAGTTTTTTTTTTTATCGTGTCTTTGTTTCTCAACCCTTCTCTGAATGGATGTCCAACAAATGTGCACATTGTCACTTTCTCCATCTCTGTCTCTCAGTCTGTCTGTCTGTCAGACATAGATCTTGCCACCAGAGAGCAGAGTCATCCCTGACTAGCAATCACTGAGCTCTTCTGTGTGCCAAGTCCTGTGTTGGGGGCTGGGGATACAGCAGTGAACAAGAGAAACTTGATCTCTTTCCTCACAAAGCTTCATAGGGAGACACAGTGAACTTGGAATTGTGCAAATGGCTATATAATTAAAGATTGGTGGGGGCCGTGAGGGCAGAAAGTTGGGAAGGGTTAATCAAGGAAGGCTTCCCTGAGGAGGTGATGTTTGCCCTGAGACATGAAGGATGAGTAAGAGTTGGGCAAAGACAGAGCTGGTAACGTGGAGGGAGAGAGGCCAAGAGAACAGGGTGTGTGAAGGTGTTGGGATGGGATGGCAGGTGGTGTGTGAGGGTCTGGCGAGATAGGCAGATACCTGACTACCACTCTAGACCCCAAGCTTGATGCAACACATAGAAATGGCTTGAGATGCTGCCTTTGCCCATACGGTCGGCACCAACAACAGCACCATGGACAGCTACCAAGGGAGGGTGGTCTGGGCTTTGGGGCTGCTTGAGTGTAGTTAAAAAACTGGCTTCCTCCTCTTCCAAAGGGAAGCTCTGGTTTCTGCGTCTTGGTGTCTTCATGCCCCCAGCATCCTTCTCACCTCCTGCCCTGGGCGGCTGACGCCTCTTTGTGAAACTCCAAGAGAGGAGCAACCGCAAAGCTGGGCGATGAAAAAGCAGGCTTCTGGGGGAGGCTCAGGCGTTTTGAGAGAGTCTAATGTGGCGTTGGGTGTGTTTGTGTGTGGGAGTGAAGAAGTTGCCACTGGGAGATCTGAGGGACCAAGCTGGTTCTCAGTCCTTGTCTCTCTCTGTCTCAGCCTTGGTGCTTCTCTATTTTTAAACTTTGTATTTTGAGTCTGTCTCTGTGTGTGTCTCTCTCTCACATATCTCTGTCTCATTAGTTGTCTTTATTCCTCTCTGTCTTCACTATGTATCTACAACATATGACAGACTTTCAATAAATGTTTTTTGAGTGAATATTGATTGTTATCTCTCTCTGCCTGTGTCTCATGTCTGCGTCTCTTTGTCTCTATCCTGCTCTCTGTTTTCTCTCCATCTCTGTCTTGTCTCTATCTCTGTCTCTAAGTCTGTTTCATCCTTTCTGTGTGTCTCTATCTCTATGTGTCTCTATGTGCCATCTCTGCCTCTTTGTGTCTCTGTCACTATATCTCTTCCATCTCTGTCTCTCAGTCTATGTCTGTCTGTCAGGATTCTGTTTCTCTCTCTCTAGAATTCTGTTTCCATATCGCCGTAGTTACTGTGTCACGGTCCAGGACCCCGACAGGGAGTTGGGGAGAGACTCAAATTCTCAGACCTAAGAGGGCTCCTGAGACAGGACAGGGCCAGAATGTATGTTGGGTGTTGGGCAGGATTCAGTGAGTGGGACAGGATGAGCCAGACCAGCATCAGCCCTTGAAGGCCCTGGGGGGGACAAGGGAGGAGATGTTTGTACGCCTGGAGGTGCTGGGAATGGGGGCCGAGCTTTGATTTCAGCCCGGGGTAAAGGGTGGGTGGGTGCCCAAGCTCTAGGTGACCCTGTGCCCTCCCCCACCATGCCCACTCCCCTCTGCTGCCCAGGAGGGCATCCCTCTAGGACCCAGCCACCAGGCCCCAGCACTGGCTCCAAGATGGAACAGCTGTCTGGGCTGCAGCTGCAGAAGCTCATTTTGAACAAGGGAGATGATTGCAGGAGTGAGTGGGGGAGGGTGAGAGAAGGGGAGGGTTGCAAGGGCCAAAGAGGAATCAGGCTTGATTGTTGCTGCTGCTGCAGCGGGTATGTTGCCCAGGAGATGGGGAGACTGGGTGAGGCAGAAAAAGGCAGAGGGAGGTCTGTCGGCCCACGCGTGGTCCATCTGTCCCCACTTCTGGTCCTCCCTCGTGTGAAGTTTTTCTGCCTGTCTCTGGCTGTCTCTCCCTCTGCCTGTATTTCAGAGCCTGCATCTCTGACTCTGCCTGTGTCACTCAGACTCTGTGTTTCTTGTTGTGACACCTTCTGCCCTGTATTTCAGTTTCCCCATCTCCCTGTCTCTCTGGCTGCCACTCCACCTGGATCTCTGTGTATCTCTGAGCCTCCTCGCCTGCCCCTCGGTGTTGTCTTCATTATCAGAAGCACGGCTAAGTCTCCAGCAGCCCTTCGGACTGCTCTTTCTTTTGTTGTCATTTCTGCGATACTCAGGGGTTGGAGACAAATAGAGATGGCAAATTCCCAGGAAATGATGGGATCGTGTCCTTCCATAAAGGGATATTTACAAAGATATCTCAATTAAGACTAATTAATTAAGCGAGTCACTTCCCCTGCCCTCTCCCCAGCCCTGAGGTCCCGCAGCCTCCTGGGAGAAAACCAGCCAATGACTGGATGGCAGTCTGGTGCTCAGGTAGTGTCTCAATGTTTAATTTATAACAGCCTTCTCCTTGCTGCCCTATCAATCCATCCGGAAGGGCAAGGTGGGCTCAGGCGCGTAGACTCAGGCAGAGGCTGGAGACCTGCTGGTCCCCCAGAGCATGCAAAGGCATGTGTGCATATGTTGGAGCCTGCCCTGCATGTCAGAGCGTGTTTTGGCATGTTTGAACGTGTTGGGGTATGTCTTCATGGCAAACATGTCCCTTCGTGTAAGGAGAGTCCGATGGCCACCAGGCATATCTGAGCACACGGGACATGTTGGAGCAGGTCAGAGCGTGTCTCTCCTGTGGGGAGTGCCTGAGCATGAGGACCCCAACAGAGGATGTGGCACATGGCAGGGCACAGGGCACAGGATGGCTCCTATGCCATGCAGTGAAGGTCTACACTTGCAGGTTAAGCATTTATCCTCAAGTGCAAGGCAAACTATGTCTTGCAGGACCCCCCTGGCAGGGATAACAGAGCCATAACAATATCTACAACTTCCAGGAGGAACTGGTCACCCCCACCCACTGCCACCCCTGCAGCTATTGCACTCTGAGTTTCCACATCCCCTTCAGCACTGGTGGGTCAGGAGAGTTGAGTTCCAGCTCTTTTTTTTTTTTTTTTTTTTTTTTTTTGCACCACATGTGATGTGGGATCTTAGTTCCCTGACCAGGGATTGAACCCGTGTCCCCTGCTGTGGAAGCGTGGAGTCCTAACCACTGGACAGCCAGGGAGTCCCCGAGTTCTAACTCTCGATGCACTATTTGCTCCTCTGTCCTCTGTAGTTTCCCTCCCCCAGTGCATGGCATCAGGGTCCCCATTTCCCCCATTGCTACAGTCCTACCAGGTCCCTTGGGATTACTTCTCATCTCTGCCTGCACCTTCCCACCCCACGCAGTCTGTTGATGCAACCCTCAGTGTAGCTCCCATCAGAGTGATGCAGCCTAAGATATAATGACAAATCTGGAGATACAGCCCTTAGTGTGATGCCAGGGTAGTGTCGGGGCCATAAACTATCTTGAAATCTGACTTCAGTTCTGCAGACAGGCACTGGCTGGGACGTTTGGTGCAGTGAGAAGGAAGAGAAATTTGCTCATTCTGGTGAATACATTCTCTTGCTATTCCAGGAAACAAGGATTCCCCAGACCTGTTGGCCGAAGCTGGCTCCATTAGCCCTTGTAAGTGCCATGTGACCTCAGCAGAGCACCAGGTTTATTAGCAAAGCATAAATTCTTCAGGAATATTTCAGGACTGACTGCAATGCTAATGAGTTAGTCGGGGAGACCTAAGAGTGCAACTGACAGAATGTATACAGATGTCAGTTCCTACTGAGAAGAGTGTAGGAATGTTCAAGGCTACAGGATGGACACGAATGGACCTGGAGGATTATACACGGAAGGGTGTGGGGGTTCTTGAAGGGGCACAGATGTGTAACATGTTTGTGGCTTCTGGATAGACATACACATATGTACATGGCTGTCCAGAATAGCACACAGAGGGTCGTGGGTATTTAGAGGGGGGCATTCCCCTGTGTGATGGGCACACTGTGGCAGAGCTGTTTGTGGGTTTAGGCAATGTGCATTTACATATGTGGCTACTCTTTATATATATATATAAAGAGTCCTCATGCAGACTGACTCGTGGGCTCACAAATTGTACACAGAATATATGGGAACAGAATGCTTGTGAACACATCTAAATGAAGCGAATGTACATGGCTATGGACAACTGCAAGAGGCATGTATACTGGCACTTGCTCACTGATGCACACCGGCATTTGCTTGAATTTACACAAATGTGCACCTATGCACATAGCTAGTCACTGATGTATCCAGATGTTCCATATGTGTCCGGAACGTAGATGCTCACAGGTGCCCGTGGATAAACATGGATGCCCACAGACAGTCACAGAGCCCCCTGTGTACCCCAGTACCCACATGCCACTATTTTGGGACGCAAATGACCAACTCCCTCGCAAATTCCCCAGATTCCTGGCAAAGTGAGATCTCAGAGCAACAAGAGTGACCTTAGAACTGCCCCCAGACCCTTTTTGGAGGACCACGGAAGGGATGTCTCAAGTCACATGAGTGCCTGGGTGACCCGGCAACACCATCCAGGAACACAGAGCCCTGAGCCAGCCTCTCGCAGGCTGTCTTAGCTGAGATTCTCACCTGTTTGACATCCGCCTTGCATAAGGGCTAATTATGGCAGCCAATGCTCAGAAGTGGCTTACAGTAGCGCCCAGCATGTTAAGGAGCATCATTACCATTGAGTAGAAATGTTACTACCATTGTGAATATTCTCCTTGAAATGCAGAGAGATCCTGGTCCTCTGCATTTCAGTCCTGGCATCCACCGCAGTGTCCCACCAGCGTTTCAGCTTCATCTGTTTCTCTCCTGCTCTCGTTTGAGAGAGTCAGTCAGTCCATTAAAGCCGTGGTTTCCTCTCCCACTGTGCACTCTTCCCTGACATCTCTCTTCATTCTCATTTGCCTCCAAGCATCACAGTTCCAGTCTGTCTGCCTGGGGATGGGTGGGTGTTAGAGAGTCTGTTTGGAATATAGAGCCCCCTAAAATGGGCTGGTGAAATAGGAGCTTTAGATAAAGAATGGAGGGAGTCTCAGAAAACCCAATAGGTGGGGCTTTAGGGACTTGGAAGGCCGTCATTCACGCACTCATTTAGCAATTCAGTTAGCAAATATTTATTACCCACCTACTAGGAACCAGGTGGACAAGATAGACAGGGTGCTTGCTCTCGTGGAGCTGACATTTTAGTGGGAAGAGACCAGTAACACACAACGAGAACTTATCACCCAGTAAGAGCTCTGTGCAGACTTAAACCAGGGTGAGGGATGTGGTGGAGGTGGGGCTACTCTGGATTCAGGAGAAAATCCCCACTTTCCTGTCCTCCCCTCCACTCTGGGGGCCCTTCATTTCTGCACCCCTAACTTCAGCCTGCCCATGGCTCTGGTTTCTGCAGCCCCCAATCCCCCATGCACCTTCAGCTCCAGGGCCCCACTGGCTCCATACCTTTTCATTGCTTTGACCTCCATGTTCCAATTCCATTTCCCTGGACTGGAGGATTTGTCTCTTTCAACTTGTATCAGGAATCCACTTGTTGTCCAATTTACCAGACACCTTGGGCACTTGGGAAAGCAAATACATAAACAAGTTCATTTTGGATAGATAAGTGCTGTAATAAAAATAACAAGAAGTAAAGTAATGTGACTGGGGAACCTCATTTTGTCAGGACACTGGGGTAGCCTCTCTGGGGAGGTGGCTTTTTTCCCAGCTTTATCGAAATATAATTGACATATAACATTGTGTAACTTTAAGGTGTACAACAAGATGTTCTGATAGATGTATGTATCACAACATAATTATCACTGTAGGGTTAGTTAACCCCTCCATCACCTCACATAATTACCATTTTTGTATGTGTGAGGTGAGAACATTTAAGATTTCTCTCTTAGCAACTTTCAAGTATATAATACAGTGTTGGTAACTAGAGTCACCATGCTATACATAATATCCCCAGAACTTATCCATCTTATAGTTAGAAGTTTGAAGAGGTGACATGTGAACACAGATGAGAAGGAGTCAGTGGTGGAAAGAACTGGGAGAGGAGCATTCTGGGAGAGGGAAGAGCATTCTGGGAGAGAGAAGAGGATTCTGGGAGGAGAGCATTCTGGGAGAGGGAAATAACTGGGAGAAGAGCATTCTGGGAGAGGGAAATGACTGGGAGAAGAGCATTCTGGGAGAGGGAAGAGCATTCTGGGAGAAGAACATTCTGGGAGAGGGAACCACAGTGCAAATGCTCTGACATGGGAAGGAGCTTCTTGCCTTCTGGAAAGAGGACCGGGTGGATCTAGAGGAGGAGAGGATAAGGTCTTATAGCTTGGCAGGGGACACTGCATGCAGGGCCTCACAGGCCAAAGTGAGTTGTTGGGTTTTATTCTAAATACAGTGAGAAGTCACTTGACAAGTTGCAGTGGAGAGGGGAGCCATGATCTGATTCACATTGTGTAAAGATCCCTCTAACTTCTGTGATGGGGAATGGATTCCAGGGAGTGAGCATGGAAGCAGGGAGATCAAGGAGGAGGTGACTGCAATGGTCCAAGCAAAAGCCAGTGGTGGCTGGGCCGGGATTGAAGCATCCGGAATGGTGAACAGTGGGCAGATTTGGCACATGTCTTAAAGTAGAGCCATCAGGACTTGCTGATGGATCAGATGTTAGGGGTAAGAGAAAGTGAGGAACAGAGAAATGGGGTGATGTTTACAGAGAACCAGAGGCCTAGGAAGCATTTCTAAAAGACCCCGGGGGGACCAGAGCAGACCAGATACCAGCTGGGTCACTCTGCCTCCTAATAACCAGGAAGATATAATGGCCTGAATCCCCTTCTAAGATCCATGGAAGGCCATTTATTCCCCAAGATTCCCCCACCCCCTGGAGGGCCTATATTCTCTTGGTCATCCCTGCCTCTGACTTCCTGCTTCTATGCAATTATTATTCTTCACTTGGTGTCTTGTGTCTTTTGGTCTCTGCTCTGACCTTTACCTGGACTGAGAGCTCAGTCCTTGAGGTCATGGAGAACCTCAAATGCCAGGGCAAGTCACCTAAACTTAATCCTGAAAGCATTGGGGCCATTTATGCAATCATTAATTTATTCAACAAGTACTTTTGAGGACCTACTGTGTGCCCTTGCTGGGAGATAAGATGATGAGCCAAGCAGTGCATGGAACCTCCTTCGAAACAGGGAGACAGGTAATGATCAGATATTCACAGAGAAATATAAATTGCAACTGTGATAACAGCTTGAGGAAAAGATTCTTGGTGTTATAGGAGATTCTAATAAGGGGATTTGATCTAATCTGGAAGGTCAGAGGAAGTAAGAGCTGAGATCTGAAGCAGAGAACAAAGGGTATTCCAGGCAGAGAGAATTGCTTATGCAAAGGCTCTGAGGTGAGGGAAAGTGTAGGCAGTATAACAGAGCAAAGAAGGCTTTGGAGGGGAAAGACAGTGTAGGATGAAAGCAGAGAGGTAAATAAAGGGCAGACCTGCAGGGCCTTGTGACTTTGTTAGGGAGTTTTATCTGTATCCTAAGAATAAAAGGTGTCTACCAATGAGGTTTTGGTTGGGAGAATGATATCATCAGATGTGCCTTATAAAATTTCCCTACCCTCCTACACTGTTGCTGGGAATGTAAGTTGCTGCAGCCACTATGGAAAACAGTATGGAGGTTCCTCAAAAAAACTAAAGATAGGGCTTCCCTGGTGGAACAGTGGCTGAGAGTCCACCTGCCGATGCAGGGGACACGGGTTCGTGCCCCGGTCCGGGAGGATCCCACATGCCGCGGAGCGGCTGGGCCCGTGAGCCATGGCTGCTGAGCCTGCGCGTCCGGAGCCTGTGCTCCACAACGGGAGAGGCCACAACAGTGAGAGGCCTGCGTACCGCAAAAAAAAAAAAAAAAAAAAAAACTAAAGATATTATGGTTTTCTCAGGGTACCTAGAGTCTGTCATACAGAGTGAAGTAAGTCAGAAAGAGAGAGACAAATACCGTATGCTAACACATATATATGGAATTTAAGAAAAAAAAATGTCATGAAGAACCTAGGGGTAAGACAGGAATAAAGACACAGACCTACTAGAGAATGGACTTGAGGATATGGGGAGGGGGAAGGGTAAACTGTGACAAAGCGAGAGAGAGGCATGGACATATACACACTACCAAACGTAAGGTAGATAGCTAGTGGGAAGCAGCTGCATAGCACAGGGAGATCAGCTCGGTGCTTTGTGACCGCCTGGAGGGGTGGGATAGGGAGGGTGGGTGGGAGGGAGACGCAAGAGGGAAGAGATATGGGAACATATGGATGTATATAACTGATTCATTTTGTTGTAAAGCAGAAACTAACACACCATTGTAAAGCAATTATACTCCAATAAAGATGCTAAAAAAAACACAAAACTACACTAAAAATAGAGTTGCCATATGATCCAGCAATCCCACCCCTGGGCATTTATCTGGACAAAACTCTAATTCAAAAAGATCCATGCACCCCTATGTTCATAGCAGCACTGTTTACAATAACCAAGACATGAAAACAACCTAAATGTCCATCAACAGATGAATGGATAAAGAAGATGTGGTATATGTATACAATTGAATACTTCTCAGCCA